TGTAAACACGATAACTTTTGAAAATATCAATTGTTTAACTCAATCTACTTTTTAATCTCTTCATCTATCATGTGGGAAGCCACTGAATGTAAATGACAGTGTAATTTTGTTTTGTTTAGTTATAATTATGTTTTTTCGGCTCCAAAATAGCGAAATTTTCGTTGGTTTGGTAGCCTTGTATGTAAATTATTTTTCTAAATAGGCGGAAGCCGCACACCGAGCTACAGCCACAGAGTACTTTACTCACTCACTCAGTTCGTGAGTGGACATTGTTTCGGTTGTTTGCAGCGGCTCAAAAAGATCGCTGTACAAATACACAATATTCGAATAACCAAATTTCTTAAATACTTGATTATAATAATAATGAGAGATTTTTTTTATCACAATATTCTAAAAGCACAGAATAAATAATAGTAGTACATACTAAAAGTAAGTAGTATTAATTTTTTCGTCATGGGTGACATTTTCATGATTTTTGAGGGTGTTAAAACCGATAGGGTTGTTGAAATGTAAATCCAAGATGGCGGCTGCAATAGGTATCAATTTTTTTATTATGGGTGTCATATTTATGGTTTTCGAGGGTGCTGAAGCCGATAGTGCTGTCGAAATGTAAATCCAAGGTGGCGGCTGAAGGTGGTACCAGTTTTTTCACCATTGGTGTCATTTTCATGGTTTTCGAGGATGTTGAAGCCGATAGAATGTTATACGTAATTTTTTTATATATTTATATATTGATTTACCAATTTTTTATATATTGTCATATTTTTATTTTATCGGGAAATACCCAGACTTACAATGAATAGCGACCCGCCCTGGTTTCGCCTGGGTTGTATCGAATAATATTGCGTTATTTTTTTTATAGAATAAGGGTAACAACCAAGCACACAGTCCACCTGATGATAAATGGATACAGTCCAAATTAGGGTGCTAATTAAGTACCAAGTTTAAAAATTTGTTGCTCCAAAATTTTCACCGCAACGATCGCTCAGCACCTAATTAGCACTTAATTCCTTGCTATTAATATTTATCGTACATCTACTAACGTCATTGCGTTGTTAGCGAGACGTTCTGCTGGCAACGCAAATTTCAATGGTTCGTTGCGGTGAAAATTTTGGAGCAACTAATTTTTAAACTTGGTACTTAATTAGCACCTAAAAAGCCCCTAACTTGGACATTTTCTGAAAGCAATTTTGATTCTATTTTGATTTTCAGGAAATATGAATTTTGCATCTGCTATATTCTGAATAAAGGCTTTATTTTTATTGGGCCTTGTTATTGCGTATACTTGCAGCACCTAATTAGCACTTAATTCCTTGCTATTAATATTTGATGTATGGAAGTGAACGCAAGTAAGACGAAAGTGATGGTTTTTGAAAGAGAAGAAAGTAAAACTTTATGTGAAATAAGAATAGAAGGGGAGTTGATTGAGCAAGTGGATTAGTTTGTATATTTGGGATGTTTATTTAGCAGGGATGGTAGATATGATAAGGATATAGAACGACGAGTGAACGCAGGAAATAGAGTGAATGGGGCTCTACACGCTATTATGAGGAGTCAGAATGTGTCAACTAAGGCACGTATGGCAATTCATAATGCTGTGTTAGTCCCTACTTTAATGTATGGTAGTGAAAGTTGGGCCTGGCAGAAGAAGCATGAGAGTAGAATAAATGCTGTAGAAATGCGTTCCTTAAGGCGTATGCTAGGGCTGAATCTGAATGACAGGGTGAGAAATAGTGTGATAAGAGAAAAGTGTGGTTTGCAAGATGACGTTGTGACAAGGATTAAGAAAGGAATGCTTCGGTGGTTTGGTCATGTAGAAAGAATGAACGAGGAAAGAGTGACAAAGCAAATTTATGTTGCGGAAGTGAACGGCAGGGTCGGGAAGGGACGCCCTAGACGAAGGTTTATCGACCAAATCGGCGATACATTAAAAATGGGCCAGATTAGGAGTACCCTTAACCGACGAGCGTGTATGCGTAGATATATGGATGTAAAAGAGGCGAGAGAGGTGTGTCAGGATCGCGCCAAATGGAAGTCCGTAGTCTCTGCCTACCCCTCTGGGTGACAGGCGTGAGTGTTTATGTATGTATGTAATATTTATCGTATATCTAATAACTTCATTGCGTTGCTTGCGAGACGTTATGCTAGCAACGCAAATTTCAACAGTTCGTTGCGGTGAAAATTTTAGAGCACCTAATTTTTAAACTTGGCACCTAATGAGCACCTAAAAAGCCACTAATTTTGGATTTTTCAAATGCAAATTCCCGACTTTGCGTTGCTGGCGGGAAACAACTCATTTATTTACATTAAGATACCATTAAGTATCAAAATTTCTAAAAGAAACTAATCAAAATATTAGTTGTCACCATAGATTTAGTATAAACGGACTTGTTGTCACCCATGAGCACTAATATGGAATGCATCGTAACCATTAAAAAGTGTCTCGTCGGTTCTCTACACTCACTATAAGAAAAAAGGCAACATTTAACTGCTATTTTTTACGCTAATATTCTGTGAGATCGTGGTCCTTCCCCGGTCGAGCCAATAAATTTGTGCTATAACCATAAAATAGCTCCAACATGGCTCTACCACGTTAGGGTTAGGCTAAATATTTAGGTTTCAAATCAATCATAGATTTATTTTATCAATTACCTATAATTACCTATTCGTTTCTTTTAAATTAGTCTCCAATTTTTTGGATAAAATGCAGCTTAGATCACCCATGTCGTTGCTCTCTATCTGTTCGTACAGTTTCATTACAATCGATTAAGCCATTCCGAAGAATTACAAAGACAAACAAACATTTTGAAAATGTGTCTTCTCATAATATTTATGCTATATATGCCGCTATACAGTAACTACTCTAGTAATATGTATTTTTTTATTTTTTATTTTATAGGATAGGGTGACAACGAGCACACAGTCCACCTGATGGTAAGTGGTTGCTGTGACCCATAAACATCTAAATCTATCCTTAATAAAGAATCACAATGCAGATGCGTTGTCACCCGTGAGGACTAAGATGGAATGCCTCATCTCCAGTAAAAAGGGTCTCCGGTTCTCTACACTCACCGTACGAAACACAGCAGTGTTAAGCTGCTATTTTACGCTGGTATCCTGTGAGAGCGTGATCCTTCCCCGGTCGAGCCGACCCATTCGTGCTACAACTATACAATTAATATAGCTGCGGCATAGCTCTACCACGTATAGTTTTATGGATCTTTAAGTAAATAAAAAAATTGCATGCAAATAGTTCAGTAAGTTAGAACTTAGTTCAATATTAAGCAATTGCATCGATATTATAGGCAGACAGTGCAATTTTATTTATACGTTTATTATGTACATAGATATATAACTTGGTAGAATTAAACAAATGAGTTAAGATTGTCTATATTATTTCTTTTGGGATGCCCCTTGTAGCATAATGTAGTTTGTGTATGTACTCGTAGCAAGGAATAAATCACCAAAAAAGTTGTGGTTGATAAAAATTATGTTCTTGAAATGACATTGCACTTTCCTTAAACGAAAGACAAAAAACATCGTGTAGAATCAATTGTAGTCGAATGCGTTGAAAATTGCAGGTTAAAAATTCAAATACATTGGCAATAGAAACTGAGAACCATATAACTGTCGAGCAAGTTAAAATATTATACCCGCCTGCACTGTTTTCGTGCACAATTTGTGGTTGTCATATTTTAAAATAGATTTTTGAATTGAAAATAGTTTCTAACTGGAATTTTACGATTCTCTCACATTTTTGATGCTGCCTCATGATAACGACCTGAGTTAGTAATTTATGTACCTTGATGATGCCGCAAGGTGGTACCGGTTGGTATATTAGTTTACTTATTAGGTGGTAGAGCCATGCTAAATATAGTACGAATGTATCGGTTCGATCAGAGAAGGACCACGCTTTCACAGAATACCAGCGCAGCGTAAAGTAGCATCTTAAAGTTACCGTTAAATACTATCAAAAGTCCACCGCTGCTGCATAGTTGCACTTTTTTTGTTTTCTGGTCGTAATTAGCAGAAGCTGCTCACATAGTTTGTTTTCTATGTTGTTCCCTCTGTCGCATCTTATGACACAGACGGGAAGATATTCTAACACCGGTGGATAATCTTACACCGCCTGTTGAAATTATTACTAAAAGAAAATTTGTGACAAATTAATCTAGTTAATAAATGCTTGGTTCATATTCCATTCCATCCCATATTGGATACATTTCCTTGTTGCACGGAATACGAGCACGAAACTTAACATATATTTCCTTGTAATCCTACCGGATGTAACCCTCACCGGGCAAGATTTACGCACAAACTTTGTTCTCTGTTAACATACATCATCTGATTCATTCGATGTAGGGTTTGGCCAATTTCCAGAATTAATCCTCGTCCTTCCTTGCTTATTTGTGATCTATACATATAAATGAATTGCAGTGTATGTCTGAAGTATTGAATAATGTGCTTCTATTAAGTTTAGAGGGTTATTTATACGCTATTATGACATACAATTTTTTTTGTCTGTCTATCTGTCTGTCCGCCCTAATCTTCAGAATGGCTGAATCGAAATACAAACAGAGCAATGCCAGGAGGGATCTAGGTTACATTTTAAATCCCAAAAACTTAAAGATTAAAAACAAAATATTGATAAAATGGGTAGTGGATTTAAAATACCCCCGTAGGTGTCGTAAGAGGCGACAGAGAGAAACTGAGGCAGAAGATGAGCAGCAGCATTTTTCTGATAATAGAAACACAACAATAAAAAAACTGCAGTTGCCAACCCACACGCCAACCGTGGTAAATATGGCAATATACTCCCATGATGAGAGTTATAATAATAATAATAATAATAATAATAAACGTTTATTTCGGACATCATGATCCATATGGGTTAGTAACAATTGAGCTTATAACTAAAGTTAGTAATTTAACAATTCAACATAAAACACAGACACAGACAAACAGTCAAGACACACATACAAATAAACATGGCACGATGACTACTTGACTGCGTGCAGCCGTATCCATCGAGCAAACATCGGCGAGTCCCAACGGTCTGCCAACGCGCGCAAGATACTGTTGGGGCTGTCGCGAACGCGCCTGAGGTGTGAAGCGCAACGTTTACGCATTATGGCGGCGAAACCATCTACATGAGCATCCGCAAACATAGCAGAAGCGCTACAGAAACGCGGCAGCCCCATCAATACCCGGAACGCGTTATTATATTGTACGCGAAGATCATTGTATGTCCTCTGCGTAAAGCTAACCCACAGACTGCACGTATAAAATGACTGACAGTAGGCTTTGAAAAGCGTAATCTTTGCTTCGTCAGTACATTTAGCAAATCTGCGGGCCAACATATTACAACGGACAGACAATGACCTCCGCTCCCTCTCAATATCTAGGTTGTCTTTTAGGTCTTCCGTGATCCAGTGACCCAGGTACTTAAAAGCCTCAACTTTTTTCAAGGGGGTTCCACAGAGCTTGAAAAGTGGCACATTAGTGTATCGCTTGTGGTCCGGATTGAAAACCATGAATTCGCTCTTGACAGCATTGTATTTGAGCCCCTGGGCCACAGCGTAAGACTCGCATATGGTTAACAATTTCTTTAAGGCTGCACTTGATGGACTCAGCAGCACCATATCATCTGCATAACTTATGTTATTAACACAAACTCCGTCTATGTGGCAACCGATACTGGTACTGCTGAGCTCATCAAGGAGCCTATTCATATATAAGTTAAAGAGCGTTGGAGAGCTTAGACCACCCTGCCTCACGCCACATTCCAATCTGTATTCTTCTGAGAGCAAGCCTGCCCATCTGACATTGTTCTTTTGGTTGCTATACCAGTGCTGAAAGAGCAATATAACTTCTTCGGGCAGGCTAGTCTCAGATCTCATCTTGTCCCACAGGCTTTCGTAAGCTACTAGGTTTGGTTTGGTACAGTGTGCCTCTCACCAAATGGTGAGAGGCACACTGAACCCAAATTGACTGAAAAAAAATTAAGTACGAATAAAAAAAGTCCGTAAACATAGAGAGTAAGAAAATACATTTTAGTCTTTACCAACGTCCGTACGGACACGTCGCGTACGTCACGCGTATATTGCGCATTGTATTTTGAAATTATATTATGGAAACGTCCTCGGACGAATCACCTGGCGTAAGACTGTCTCAACAGATCGCAGCACGACGCTGCTCTACCGAGCACACCATCCCGCCAGGAACGTAATTCGTCTATAGAATATTCCGAGCTCCGACATCGAACGAGGTTAATTCGGACCCTAGGCGCTGAGGTGCACATCATCTAAATGGGCTTCGGCGTTGCACTGAATGAGTGCAGAGCGACTAGTAAAGTCACATTATTTAGAGCCGCTCGTCCCTCTCGTACTCTAATCCAAAGTCCCAAAAACTTTCAGCTCGAGTTACAAAATCGTTTTCAATGCCCAGAAGACTGCAATGCAATGAACGATAAGAATAACAAGCTCGTGGGAACTATCCATGCGGTCGGAGCTAAGTTCTGCAAGACCCGCCGTAGAAGAACTTAAAGCTCTCCGATCACACTCTTAATCTCATGGCTGACGGGCAAAGAAGCTGCAGTCTTCATCAGATTTGTTACAGTAGAGGCAACTGACCAGACAGATCTCCAAATGCACGCGGCGGGACTTACCCAACTTTAATACAGCTCGTATCTAAGAAGCGATAGAGCAGAAGCAGAGCTGCAAAGTCTTTACCAGAGATATGTCTGCCAGAAAGAGCCAACTGTTGAAGCCGAAGATCGAAAGTGGCAGCATTCTTTCCGGGATATCTGAGATTTTGAGTGAGTTTGGAAGGTTCTATATGCAGCTGTACACATCATCGTTGGAGCTACACGCAAGTATGAGTATCGATAGCAAATCTCATCCGATACTATTCCGATAATATTCCAGACGTCAGTCTGAGCGAGGTTATAATGGCTCTCCAGCACCTTAAAAACAGTAAGTCCCAGGCGAGGCTGGAATAACGTAAAACCGGTACTTGAAGCCCTTCTGAAGCTCTTTAATTCTGTTCTCCATGGTGGTATTTCACTTTAAGAAAGTTGTTCTCTTGAAGAACTACATACCAATTTCCGTTTTGAGCTGCGTGTACATGCTGTTTTTGAGAGTCTCGCATCTTTAGCACCAAAGACTATATTTTTTTTTATAGGAGAGGGGGCAAACGAGCATGCGGCTCACCTGATGGTAAGTGACTACCGCCGCCCATGAACAACTGCAACACCAGGGGAATCGCAGATGCGTTGCCGGCCTTTTAAAAAGGAGTACGCTCTTTTCTTGAAGGTCCCTAAGTCGTATCGGTTAGGAAAAATCGCTGATGGTAATCGATTCCACAAGGAGGTCGTGCGAGGAAGAAAACATCTTCTAAATCGCACAGTGGTGGACCGCCAATCATCCAGATGGTGTGGATGGTATCGGGAGTTCTGCCGCGATGTGCGTTCGTGAAATTTGGCGGCTGGGATTAATCTGAACAATTCCTCAGAGCACTCCCCATGGTAGATGCGAAAGAAAATGCAAAGGGATGCAACATCTCTTCGCAGTGCCAATGAATCGAGCCGATCGGAAAGGGCTCGGTCGTTGACAATTCGAGCCGCTCTGCGTTGGATGCGGTCAAGTGGAAGGAACTGGCACTGGGGAGCCCCTGCCCAGAGATGGGAACAGTATTCCATGTGAGGCCGAACTTGCGCCTTGTAAAGTAGCAGGCGGTGTGCCGGCATGAAATACTGTCCCGCTCTGCTGAGCACGCCAAGCTTTTTAGAGGCCAATTTGGCCTTCCCTTCCGAGTGACCACGAAACTGCACGTCACTCGATATGTCGACTCCGAGGATACCGATACTGGCTGAGGCAAGAAGGGGAGTGCCTTGAAACTGAGGAGATACGACAAAGGGATTCTTTTTAGCGGTAAACGCGCAAACTTGTGTCTTCTGAGGATTAAATTGGACTAGATTTAGTCGCCCCCAATCCGAGACTTTGTTCAGCAAAGACTCGACTTCAGACACAAGTTTGTTCCGGTACTCAGCGACGTTTACCCGAGAAATATTGGCACGGCCGGTGTATAGAGCATCACCAGTGCTGTCATCCGCATAGCAATGAATGTTACCAGTTAGCAACATATCATTGATATGCAGAAGAAACAGCGTTGGTGATAGCACACAGCCTTGTGGAACACCAACGTTAATAGGCTTGTAGTCAGAGCATGCACCGTCTACAACGACCTTGATGCTCCGATCTGCAAGGAAGCTGGTGATCCAATTGCACAATTTCTCGGGAAGCCCATAGGAAAGGAGCTTCGAAAGAAGCGCTTTGTGCCAAACCCGATCGAAGGCCTTCGCAATGTCCAGACTAACGGCCAACGCCTCGCCCTTGGACTCTACTGCCTCCGCCCATCTATGGGTCAGGTAGACCAGAAGATCACCAGCTGATCGACCCCGACGAAAACCGTATTGGCTGTCACTAATCAGCTGGTGCTCCTCAAGGTACCGGATGAGCTGGCAGTTAATAATGGATTCCATTATTTTGGAGAACAAGGAGGTGATCGCGATAGGCCTATATTTGGATGGGTCTGAGCGGTCGCCTTTTTTAGGGATCGGGTGGACAAAAGCTGTCTTCCATGAATTCGGGACTACGCCTTGGGAGTAGGAGTACCGGAAAAGACGCGTTAGGAGCGGTGCCAACTCCGGAGCACACGTCCTCAGCACAATTGGGGGGATTCCGTCAGGCCCACTCGACTTCTGGATGTCCAGGGAGAGCAGTGCTTTGCGAACCGAGCGCTGTGAGAACAGCACATCCGGCATGGAGCAATCACACCGCGGGATGGTCGGCGGTGTTTTCCCCCCGTCATCAAGAGTTGAGTTGGACGCAAAAAGGGAGCCTAAAAGGTCGGCTTTGTCTTTTGCGTCATGGGCCAGTGAGTCAAATTTTACAAAAGACCAAGGAGTGCAATCTGCCATTATGTCGTGCATATATGTCATAGTCCATTTAATAAAGCCGTAAATTCCGTTGATATTTTGGCGGTGCTGCATTCCCTTGAGCGGTGCCAAGTTGACTATCAGTATGTCAAAGTGCTGACGTGTTTATACACTGGGGCTACGATGGCTATCCGAGTACAGAACCAGAGTACAAATCCAATCCAACTGTAGAGAAGTGTAAGACAAAGTGACGTTATATCCCCGAAACTCTTCACTGCTGCATTTGAAGACGTTTTCAAGCTACTGGACTAGAAAGGATACGGTATTAACATCAATGGCGAGCACATCACTCACCTTCGATTTCCTGACGATATAGTACGTATGGCATAATCGCTGGAGGACTATGCTCAATGACCTCAATAGTGCCTTCCAAGGGATAGGTCTTAAGATTTTTTTTATAGGATAGGGTGACAAACGAGCACACAGTCCACCTGATGGTAAGTGGTTGCTGTGGCCTATATACATCTACATACTATTCTCGTTTGCGGATCAAAATGCAGATGCGTTGCCACCCGTGAGGACTAAGATGGAATGCCTCTTTTCCAGTAAACAGGGTTTTCGGTTCTCTACACTCAGCACAGCAGAAACACAGCAGTGTTAAGCTGCTATTTTACGCTGGTATTTTGTGAGAGCGTGGTCCTTCCCTAGTCGAGCCGAGCCATTCGTGCTACAACTTGATGATCTTTTCCTACGCAGATGACACTGCACTTGTGTTTCATTTGAACACTTGGACTGAAACCTATTCCCTTGCTCAAAATGGGTTTGACATTGTAAAGAAATGGTTAAACGCGCATTTACTCACGTTGAACATAGATAAACCAAAATTAATAGACTTTTCTATTCGAAACACAAAAAATTCAACAACAAACTCATTACAAATCGCTGTTAAGCCTCCCCTCGATATAAGAAATAGTACAGCCAATAATGACCTACACTATATAAAAAAAGTGACATCTATAAAATATCTTGGAATTATAATTGATAATAACCTCACATTTAAAGCTTACATTGAACACCTGTCAAACAGAGTCCGTAAACTTATCTACATTTTTGAACAATTACGTCAATCTGCAGATTCAGAAATCATGATGATGGTTTATATGGCATTGTGTCAATCCATTTTATCTTATTGCATATCCACGTGGGGTGGTGCGGCTAAAAGTAATTTTATACAACTTGAACGGGCACAGAGAGCTGTTTTAAAAGTATGTTGTTTTAAACCGCGTATGTTTCCTACAGACCAACTTTACGACTATTGCCAAGTACTAACAGTTAGACAATTATTCATTTTAACCACCGCTCTCAAACAACATACCTCAACCAAATATATCCCTGAATGGACACGACGTAACCAACTAGTTGCAAAGTCTTCTCAAGTTAAAACTGCATTTAGTCATAGATTCTTCATATTCCTTGGCCCCTATTTATATAATAAATTGCATAAAACCTTATCCCTTTTTTCTCGAAATCAATATGAGTGCAAAAACACTATTCTCAAGTGGCTCCTTAAACAAACCTATACAAAAACAGAAAGTCTTTTAGAGGTTGTCGTGTAATATACACATTCACCTACATACATACATACCCACACACACACACTCTCTCTCTCTCACACATACACACACACACACACACACACACACACACACTTTTCTAAGTTTTTCTAACCATAACCAATTATTTCAATTAAGTATGTACAAATAAAGAAATAGAGTTAAACTTTATGTGTTAATG